GTGCTCAGTCCCCTCTCAGCTCTGCCATGGCTTTGGGACAGCCCCATTGCTTATCTGTGCCTCAGTTTCCCCACCACTATAACACACCTCTGAGAGCTCCTCAGCTTAATTTACAAAGTGATGTGAAGGGTTTAGTGATCTCAGAAGCCACCAGCTCTTACCCCCTCAGGAAGTTCCACGGGCACAGGGAGAGACACCGACCCTGCTCGGGAAGGAAAAATGGACAAAACCTCAAAGATTTTTTCTTTTTTTTGATGCATTTTGGATAAACGTGCTGGCAATTAAATAATCCCACCCAGGCAGGAATGAGAAGGTGTTAATCTGCTCCCAGATTAGGACCATCCCTGATGCCGAGTGACACGGCCATTGCGGGCGTGAGGGAGTGACACAGAGATGAGTTTGTCGGTTCCACCTCGAGTGATTGTCACCTCCTCCCCGCCCGGGAGAGGAACCAAATCGAAGGAGAAAAGGTCAGAAAGCCCTGGTCATCCTCTCCCTTTCTCCCAAATCACTCGTTCCCGCGGATGGAAACGAGAAATGACAGGTTCCCGCGCCGCTTGGGATGCAGGCAGCCCGGAGTAAAACAAAAAGGAAAGCTGGCTGGAGTAGGGGTGGGGAGCAATGAATGTAGCCTGTTAATAACGCACTGCAGAGGCACGGGGGGCCTGCTTATTGTTCGTGGCATCTGCTAACACCAAAGTGACAGTGACAAGTTCTTTGATTAGAAAGAGGTCCCCACCACCTCCTCCCTCCTGCCCCTGCGGAAAGGTTTGTGGAAAACACCACCCTCTGCTTAAAACCCTCGATGCAGAGGGAGGTCAGCTGGGGAAATGGACTTTTTTTTTGTCTTCTCTTTCTGTTTTGGTGCAGAAATGTCTCAGCTCAGGTCCTGGAGAATCTCAGCCTGAAAGCACTCTTTGTGTGTTTATTCTGTTTTTGTTTTTTTTTTCTTTTCTGTTCTTGTTGGTTTGTTTGTGTAAGTTGGTTGGTGTAGGTTTGTTGTTTGTTTTGCTTTTTCCTTCTTTTTCCCGTTCTTCACGTATTTTTTAAAGGAGGAACCATAAGGATACCACTCATCCTTCTCATAATTGTTGCCCCCCCTGCAGTTATCCCTCATGTGAAGAGCACCTTCCCAAAGTGCTTCCCATGAGAAGCTGTGGTCAGTTTGGGTTGTTTTGCAATGCTGATTGTTTTCCTACTTTTATGCAAATGTGTAATTACTCATCTGATCCTTCTTAAAATTATTTTATGACCAAGTGCTTTAATTTGGGTTTCAGGGACAAAGTGCTTCTCTGAGAGGGCCAGAGGACATCACAATTAGCAGGAACCAAATCCTGGACACCCCAACCCAAACCAGGCTGTTACTCCTTTGAGGATGGAGAGCAAAGCAGAGCTCTTCAGCCAGGGAAAAGCAAGAGGGAGAGGGGAGACATGGCATGGGGAAGGACATGATGACAGGTAGGGAAGGTGAGAAGTGGCTGTGGGACTGTCTCTGTTGAGGCAGGTGAGAGAACCCAGCTCTGTGATGCCTCACCCAGCTACAGAGCTGCCCAGAAAATGATCTTCTTTCCATCATATTTTACTTACAGGTCCCCTTGGGTCGTCTTCAATGGGCTGCATGGGATTATTTTTTTTTCTTCCTTGTGGTTTGTTGAAAAAAGAAACTTTTTCGCAGGAAACATGGGGGAAAAAACTCCTCCCTTTTTCTGGTGGGAAAATAAGTGCCAGTTCACCTCTATTTCTGTGTAAATGGGGTTGTTAAAAAGAGAGACTGTGCCTGGGGAGTGCAGAGTCTTACCTGTCTCGTAGACAAAAACCATCACGACTGACAGCACGAATTCAATGATTTTGCTGCATTTTCAGTCAGAGAGGAGAGCTCAGAAATGAGAGAAAGAGAAATGCACGCTGTCAGGTGGAAACTGCTTTCCCAGCATTGTGATTTTTCCCTGAGAACTGAAATCAGCAGACATCTGGGCTGGAAGGGTGTCAGTTTGCAGGCAGCAAGCTGGGCTAAAATATTCACAGATATCTGTAATAAAATCTGTGTTATTTTTAGAAGAACAGCATAAGAAGTTACCAGAGCAAACCAAGGGACAGGTTCCCTCTCCCTGGTGCTTGTGGGGTACCTGACCCCAGGCAGATTTGGGGTTTGCTTCCTTGGCTCAGCCACAGGCAGGGGCTCTTGGCTTGGGTGGCTTTGCAAAGGGATAACAGGCTCTGGGAGAGGTTTTGGTTCTTTGGATCCTGCTGAACACTTGATTTCTCCCCTTTTTTTCAAGATCAATAGATGTAATGGCGGGAAGGATCTTTTGTAGGTGTTTCCACCTGTTTTTATACAAAATGAAAGAGGCAACAGCAAATATAATTCAGATTGGATGCAAGAAAAACACTCTTAATGATGGTGACCAAGCACTGGAAGAGGAGCCCAGACATATGAGGGAATCTCCATCCTCGGAGTTTTAAAATTCACCTGAAGAAGGCCTTGGGCAGCCAGGTCATCCCTGAGGTCAGTGCCTTTCTGCAGGAGCACAGTGAAGCTCTTTCTCACTTTTTTCATCCTTCACCCCTCACCCGTCTGTGCAGGAGATCCGGGGCTGGAACCTGATTTACAGCTGCATAGTTTGGCCCCCAGTACCCCCCCTGTGCTCTCCACCCACCTCCCATGGCAGTGGCACACCCCTGGTGCCCAGGATGGGTGATGCCCACGGCCAAAGCTCTGTGCTCAGAGTAAGCATTTGCTCAGGTGGGTTTTTGGGAACAAAACATCTTCTGGGTGCCTCTATCCAATGCCCAGACTTTTGGTGCTGGTTTCTTGACCAAAGTCAGGCCAAACCAGAGAAGAGGAGCTGCCTGCTGTACAAACCCAGCAGGGAGTGTGGCTGAGCTTTCAGAGAGGTCTCCATGGCAAGTCTGTTCCGTTGGCAGGAACTTTTCCAGCCGCTTTTCCTCCTCTCCCTGGGTGCTGCTGTTTCTGTGCTAAGCTGTACAGTTATAGATTTTAAGATAAGGTGCTTTTGTTTCCCAGTTCTGTCTGGGTCACCGTTTGGAACTGATATGACAGGCCTGAGGCTAGGATAGAAATTTGCTACAAGTTCCCATTTCGTGAACGTGTCGCCAGTCAAATAACCTATTTACTCTCTCGGGGATCTATTTTTAAAAGTTATTAGCAGATTACTGGTTTTCTATCAACCTCAGGCACCAATCTCCCAAAGATACTATTGTACTTTAATAAGGTGCATTTGATAATCCTCAGATAAAGGCATTTGAAGTGTGGGGGGGAGGAGAGGGAGAAACTCTTGCACCGATTCATCCAAGGGACACACGGGCTAGAGAAGGGTTAAATATACTCATGTTTCTAAATGGCTGAACTACTGTATGTTGTAGTTTTCAACCGCAAATCATCTTTAATAGCAGACATCACGGGATGGCTCATTACATTAAGCTATTTTTCATGCTATCTCCTGTAATATCCTTTAATCCAATGCGTTTCAAATCACCTCGGGCTAAAATAAGAGACATAGCGATGTAATAGCCTAGTGTATTAGTGGGTTAATTGCCCTGTTGTACTCTCTAGTAGATATCTCTGGAATGAGTTTTATATTAATTGTAAATTGCTTAATACATTTAACTCCTTGAGCAGCTTGGCCCTCCGCCCCATCTTTAATGAACGAGAAAACTTTGGAGTTGTAAATAGTTGTTTTTTTGGTGGCCGACACCACAGGGTGCCCGGCCCTTCCCCACAAGCACATCATCCTCCTGGCGCTTAGGGAGAGTCAGCCTGGAGCACTAAAAGGAAATTCCTGCTTTTTCCTGGAAGCTGCAAAGTTCTGCTCCAGCCCTGCCACCTGCAAAGCCCCCTCACCTCGCCTGGAGGGTGCTCAGTGCCAAACTTCCAGAGCGGGATCCGTGGAGGAGCAGAGCTGGGACTGTGAAGACTGTACAGTTGGAGAGGGGGGGGAAAAAATAAAGGGTTTAAATAATACATAAGATTTCAGCCTCTGAGTGCCATGGCCAGAAAGGGAAGACGGATGAAGTGCTCTGCAGCTCTGCCAGAGGATGCAGCGGCGGGTCACTGACACAGGCGGCTCACAAAGTATCGCCCATAATGTGCAGGAGCCAGTTTTCTAAAATTACTTTTGCAGCACTAGGCAGACGTGCCTGCAGATTTGCAGTCACTTTTCTGAAGATTGGAACATAAGTGTCACTGGGCTACCAGAGGGTAATGTCACTAATTTCTTTGGATTGCTCCCAGTTTGCATCGGGGGGGGGTGGAAGAAGGAGCAGGCACGGCGGAGGTTGGAGGGGGTCGTGTGATTTGCAGGTGAGACATTTTTTTATTCATTTCTTCGGGGACGTTCTGGTTACTAAGAATCCTGGCAAAAGCACTAGTGTCAATTTAAAGGAAAGGCACGGAGGAGGAATGCTGAAAAGCTCCTTGCTTCGGAAATTTAGAAGAAACTCTCTCCTGAAGTGCCACCTATTGCTTAAAGCCAACAGGATTGCAGGAGCTGAGGTAAGGGGACAGGTCAGTGGACCCGAATCTAACCTGTGAGACCAAAAGTCCCATCCACCTGGTGTGCCTGGCCTGGACTGTGCAGCTCAGTCTGTCCTGGAGCAACATGGCTATGGAGCAGCACAGTGACTGTGTCATGGATCTTTCTTTATATCTTATGTCCATGGTATATTTTCTGTATTAAATAAAATACTCAGAAAGATGCAATTCAGAACACTCGCCACCATGGCACGTGGCAGCTCAGGGGTTTAAATTTGGATTTTCTGGCCTACCCTGCACTGCCCCTGGCTCCTGCACACATGTACACACACAGAGTGATGATTATTATTAGTACTCTTATAATTCACATAAGTTCATATATGATTACTGCAGATTGAAACACCCAAGTAGAAATTTCCAGGGTTAACAGAGAATGTAAATAGTAAACTCTCAGAGATGGAGGTTTGTTTGGGAATCAATTCCAAATAATGCTCTTTGTCCTTTGCAGTGAAGCCGTGGAACAGGGTGATGGTGAAGTGGGCTCTGTGTGCTCACCAGGGGAAGGAGGATGGACTCTCACTCCAAGGAAGTCAATTAGAAGTCATCCTGGAAATCAGCCTCTCCTTCAGTCGCCTTTGTTCCAAATCCAGCCAAACCAAAAGGCTGCCTTGTTCCAGTGCCACCGAGGCAATTTCTTTTGCTGTAAGGTAACTGCACTGACTTCAGTGGAATTACTTCTGATTTATGCCTTGTGAAGTGAGAGAGGAGCCAGACACACGGGTAATTCTGCTCCAGCATTGCCTGCACCCAGTAACAAAACAACTCCTTGCATTTACATGAATAGTTAGGTAGGGCTAGAAGAAATATCATCCCTCTGGTTTAAAACATAATGCAAAGATAGTTGGGAGATAATCTGAGTGAAAATTTTGTAACTTGTAGAGGAAAATTCCTGTGAAACTAGGGAACCGGTTGTTCTTGGAAGGAAAGACACAAAGTGCTTAGACTGCTGGAAAAAAAATCCATCAAGTAATTCTCTATCTATAAAGTAGGTGGTAATGCAATCTGAGCTTAATTTTGATGGCACGCTGTACTTCATAACAGTGACAACACCTTAAAAATGTAATGAAAGGGCCTGATTTATTACTGAAATAATCCATTTAGCACTCCAATAAATAAAGGGAGAAAATACAACCAATGTTTCGACAGAGGGGGGGGAAAAAAAAGAGAAAAATTGCAGTGCATAGCAGTTTTCTGGAAATGTATCCAGAGTCTGTGGCCACATGTTTTGGGGTTGATTATTTTTCTGAAGACAAATATAAATTCAAAGTCAGATTTAAGATTTAGGCCTGATGTCCACTCTGCATTCTGATGTACTTTAAAACCCACAGCCCTGTGACTTGGTAACACGAGGACCGGGTTTGAATGACGAAGGGGAGGAGAAAACACTAACTTACTGCCTTACAAATATTTGATTTTGAATATGCTCTCATAGCCATTATTAAGCGCAAAGCAAACATGTTTCCCCCTCACGCCAAATTTGTTTTAATAACACGACGTTACTTCTGCAAATGTCAGCTCCAGCCTCTCTCTTTCAGTGGCACTTGGCCCACAGTGAAGGCTGGCAGGTTTTATACTCCCTCTCCATCACTCCTATTAATCTGTTTAATCTGCTGCAGGACCTGGCAGTGGCAATGACAGTGAAAGCAATAAAACCCTCCCGTGGCAGATGTCTGTATTCGGGTGCCATGTCCTGGATGCTGTGCTGGAGAGGAGAGCTGCTGCTCCTCCAGGGATGGAGAAAAACTTCCCAACACAAAGAGCCTTTCAGAGAAGGAGTTGACTGAGGAGGGTGCTGGACTCCCACACCAAAAGTTTCAAGGCCATGAAGGCTTTGAGGTGACCTGACTGTGGCCTTTGAGTACCTGAAGGGAGCTGGCAAGAAACATGGAGAGGGATGGTTTACAAGGGCCTGGAGTGCCAGGACAGGGGGGAATGGCTTCAAACTGCCAGAGGGCAGGGTTAGATGGGATATTGGGAAGGAATCCTTCCCTGTGAGGGTGGGGAGGCCCTGGCACAGGTTGCCCAGAGAAGCTGTGGCTGCCCCATCCCTGGAAGTGTCCAAGGCCAGGTTGGACGGGGCTTGGAGCAACCTGGGATAGTGGAAGGTGTCCCTGCCCATGATGGGAGGGTTAGAACAAAATGATCCTTAAAGTCCCTTCCAACCTGGAATATTCTGTGATTCTGTGCTGGACCAAGCTTTGAGGAAGGATACAGAGAGGATGAGAATGTGGCTTTGCAGGGTCTGCTGCTTCCCATGAGGAATGGTGGTGGCAGCCGTGGTTAAGGGGTTCTCCTGCACATCCCCAGGATCACGGACAACGTAAAGCCAAGGTTCAGTACCATCCTCTCCTCTCGCTGTGCTGGGGGGTCAGAGCAAGAGGTGTTGGCTGAACCTCAGCACGGACAAGAGCACGTTGTATCCCCACCTCCCAGCCCAGGAGTTGGTGTTTGCATCAACCAGCTCTGCACAGCATTTCAGTGAGCTGACCAAACTTAAAGGGAAGTACCGTGGGTGAAAAAATTAGGGGAGAAAAAGCAGAAAATGCTGCCATGTGGCCCATTTTGGGGGGATATTTTGCTTTGTGGCTTCAGATCATCCTCCATTGGTGCCTCCATCCCTTGTGCCCACACCTCAGGCTGGAGGAATGGCTCCAGCACCACCATCCCACTGTGCCCTGCCCGGCCCTAATTGGCCTGTTTGTTTGGCAATAAGTGATTCCTGCCTGTCTCGGGGTGGATTGTTTTTCACACCATTAAATGAAGTTCTGCCGTATTGATCCCTGTTTTTCCAATTTGAAGCCTGAAAAGTGATGAAGACATTTTCTTGTTTTCTCATGTACTTTTCCCCTCAGTTCATTTAGGTGACCTGTCTTTAGTTCCTTGCTCTGCTCGCTGTAATTGCTTCTTCAGAGTAATGTTGCACCGTGAGCTCGGTGCCGCAGCCGGGGCGGGTTTTTATGGAAGGATGAAGGAAGGCGAGGCTGGAGTCATCAAGCAATGCTAACTGTGCAAGGTTTGTCACAAATGACATCTCAATAGCAGCCTCTCTTGCTGGAACCTCACTAAAACAGCACAGAGGGTGAGGGCAGGACCTCGGGACAGTTTTGTCTCTTTGGGATGTTAATATTTTGCACAAGGGATGGAAATGTTGTGCAGTGTTATTTTTCTTTGGGTGCAGGTGTTGTTGTTTGTGTCCTCTTTCCCTCCATGAAAAATCTCAACGCTCAAATGTTTGCATTAGATTTTGCCAGGGATCTATTTTTGTTTGGTATTAATGGAAGGGGTGGATTTCTTTTTTTTTCCAGAAGAGATCAATAGAGCGGGTGCTGAACTCAGGTTTAAATGGCAAATTTAATTAAGGAGGGAGCAATGGTTGCTCCAACTCGGCCTCACTTGCAATTATTTAATGTTTGAGGTCTAAACCGAGCCCATAAGCACAGAGAGCTTTCCAGTGGCATCAGTAGGCTCCAGACTTGCAGAATTTACTGATAGAAACTGAAGTGCAGCGAAGGCTGGGGCAAACATGGGAGGTTGGGATTGTTGCCTGTATCCCTGAGCTGTTCCCACGAGCCTGGCACAGCCTGGGATGCTCCAGCTGGAGAGTGGGAAGGCAGGACCACTTTGCTGGCTCATAGGTAGGGACTGAATTTAAAGCTGGAGTGTTTCACAGCAGCATCTTGGGTATCTCTGCACCCCCAGAGGCTGCCTCCCCATGTGCCCATGTTGCTCTGAAGCCTCAGGTGTTCCTGAGACTCTGCAATACTCCAGAGGGTTTTTACTCCGTCTTTTCGGTTGTTTTTCCTCCTCAGTTCACAGGGAGACACATAAACCACCCCTGTTTTAAGGAACTTGTTGCTTTGATTTCTCATGGAAGTGGATTTTGTTGGCTTTGCAGTAAATGGTGGCACTTTATTCTGCTTTTCCTTGCAGGAAGGCAGTAAAGCAAGTGCTGTGAAGAGGTGGGATTGGCAAGTCCCATCAAGGCTGGGAGAACGTGTCCCAGCTCTGAGAGGCTTCCCAAGGGAGCCCAGCCCTCCCTCACTCCCTGCTGTGATGTTGCTTATTAAAGCAGCAGGGGGGTCTGAGAACATCCAGAGCAAAGCACGACTCAGGTAAACTCAGGTATTGGCAGGATGAATTTATTCCCTGTTCCTGGAAATAATCCTGTCGGGAACGAGTGGCCTGGAGGAGAGTCTGGGATCTGCAGGGTCTGGGGTGCAGGAAGGCAGCTGGGCAGGGGAACTTGCAGAATCAGGCACTGGAGGGAGACCTCAGTGCACTTAATAGGAAGAGGATTATTCCACTTATTTTGCATTGCTCTTTGTATTATCATTTTTATGCACATAAGCCTGAATTGTGTAAGAACTTTACTGCCCAAGTTGGGTTTGCTCGCAGGGAGCACAAAATGCAGAGGAAAATTCTTTCCTTTGAATATCTTCTGATCTAAATGGGTGGGAGGTGTGGAGAGAGGGGGCTTTGGGGACAGGATCTGTCTTTCGTGCTATTGGCATCTTCTGTCATGAGGTCCCTGTTCCAACTGGCCCTCTAAAGTGTTGTCCCAATACATAATGTACACAAGAGGTAGGGAAAGGGGTGCAGCAGAAAAATAAACTTGTGCCAGTGTATTATTCCAAGAATGACAAAAAATTCCAGTGTGCAGTTTGAGAGTATGATGCCTTACAGACAACTGGGGCAAATCTTGGGAATAATGTCCACTGGCTCTGAATGGGATGATCCATTTCAAAAGTGTAATGTACTGGATATAGTAAACAGCAGAAAGTACACAAACAAGGAGGCTTTAGTGATTTTTCTTTTCCCACCAAATGTAAAATCTCTGGTAAAAGGCTAAAAATTAGGAAAAGGTGTGGTTTGCAGAAATAGCTGATCTGTTCCTTGCCTAAGCAGCAGGAGAGGATTTCGGGTTTTTTAATTTTTTTTTTTTATTGTAAACTACCTTATGACAATTGGTGATAAAAGAGCTTAGCCTTTCAAAAATCCATTTTAATAGAACACCGTATGACCTCATAGATATGCATAGGATTTAGAAATAACATGGATTTTAATGAAGGCACTTGAAAGGTATGGTGCCATATTGCAATTTTATGGAAGATCTTAGATTAATGAAATTAAACGTGAACTGCATTGTTTAGATGATGAACTTAAGGTCATATCTGCAGCATTTGAAAGAGAAACCTTGAGTGGAGGGTGTAGAATCATTGATTTAGACCCTGGTAGACAGCTGAATAGCAAGCACTGAAGCATGAAGGTAAATTCCCATATTTCATTGTTAGAAGGTTAGCTGGTGGCTGCCAGCTTTTCAGTGATAATCACCAACCAATTCCACCCTGTTTCAAAAAAGATTTTGCCTTTGTGTGCTAAGACACTTTTAAAAACCATTACTGCTCAAAGCAGGGGCACGCTGTTTAAAGAGAAGCTATTTCTGCAGAATGCAGGATGGCAATGAGTTGATGCTGTCCTTGGATAGTGATGCTATTAAGTTCATTAGGATCATCATCCATTTAAAATGCTTATAAGGAGGATTGTGACTGTTTGCTGGAGACGCCAGAGGCACCTCCTACTGCAACTCCCAGCGACGTGTCATCAGTGATTAGCTCTTTTGCTTCCTTAGGATTTTTGTGTGAGACAACGGCCCTTTCAGGGTTTAAGTCCCGTTTCCATCCTCAGGCACACGCAGGGAATAAATGCACGAACATGCACATGTGTTAAACTAATAGACATGCATTTGTACAACAGGAAAATTGCAAGGAATGGGATGCTCAGGCCTGAAGAATAAGTGATAATAGAAGGATACTGGCAATTACTGCTGGAGAACAGTGTTGTCACAGGGAGCAGCTCGTGGGGATGGAAGGATGAGGGGCGGGGAAAAGATTCCCTTTCGACAGTTTGCCGTTAAAGGGAATTTGTCAAGGATGTTAAAATTAGATCTGACTGGGCCAGATCCTCAGATGACATAAATCAGCCTATAGTCTTCAAACCACGATCTGGCCACTTCCTCCTCTTTGTTCTTTCTTCATCTTTATTATCTGCACCACAACCCTCCCTGAGCGCTGCCGTGGTGCTTCCAGCCCCATTGTCTTGGTGCTGCAGCAGCACAGTGAGAGGAGGTACTGCCACTCTTTTGCCTGCCCTGCACATCCTTTGTTGCTCACAACACCCACACATTTTACAAAACCTTCTAAGCCAGTGTGGGAGATGGGGAACCTCACCCAGACCCGGATTTAGGCTGAGATGTCACCATCACTGAGGCGATCGGTGTGGACTGACCTGTCTTCAGCAAGATGAGCTGCTTTCCACAATGACCAAGTGATGGAGTTGCCTGTAATTAGTGCTGTTGGGTACCAGAGTGGGAACACTGAAATGGGAATCCATCACCCCACACCCAGCCCTGCTGAGTGGGAATACAGTAGCACTTAGAGAGTGTTTAGCTTCTGGTGGGACCTGCTGGGGTGCAGGGGTCTAGCTGGGTACAAGAGAGGGCAAACCTGAAAGAGATGTTCTCAGGTGGGAACTGAGATTTCTGTGTCTAATATATTTCTATGTATGTTCTCTTCCAGCCTGAATTTTTGGCAAGCAAAGCTAAACTCTGCCACATTGTGAAAACCGTGTGAAAGCTGCCAGTAAGGAAATTAAATAAGAAATAGTGTCAGATAATGGTTGCAAATGTGCTATGATCACTCTTTTCATTAGAAACTTCCTTGTTTCCTCCCTGGTGTGCACCACAAACAGCTTGCACATGATTTATTTCTGTGTATTTGGGAAGGAGAGGCAAAGGGAATAAAGTCTTTGCCATTAGATGTTTTAAAAGGCTTTTGGGAGATTTAGAGGCACGATGCTTATTAAAATAAATGGAAGCCGTGTGTCTAAATCCCCTGGTCATCCTTGAAAGTCTTGTCCCTAATGTTTATCTTGCAGCCATTTCCAAATGGGGCACTGCACATCCCATTTCCAGTGTGTATCTAAGTGCAACTGGACAGCAAACCCAGGCTCACACGGGGGCCAAGCCCAGCTCTGTGCCATGTGCTGCCTAATGTTGTGAGTAAGGAGAGGGTGTGATGGTACAAAGCTTTGAAATGGTGCAAAGCATTTTCTGGGAAACTCTGGATAGAAAAAAAGCCCAAGTCCCACGGAAGCAGAGGGAATGTGGCTCCCCTGTCCCACTCCCAGAGGTTTCTGCTGTGTGCAGCTCTTGGTATGGGACACACTAACCCTGCAGTGTCCAGTCCTGCAGAGCTGATTTGCTGAGCTTTTTAATAGATGCATAACTTTCCATCCTGTTGTAAATCTCCCAACAAATGTTGTTTTTTTTTTAATTTTTAAAGGAAACTATTGGCATTGGCCACTTTGGAAATGCTGACCCATTAAGTCTAAACAGGGAAGTTTAGGGCATGTTAAATATCAATTGATTATAAAACCCATATTAATTGACGTTTAGCAGCCCCACTAATGGAGAGGAGCTCATTACATAGCAGTTAACCCTCAATGCATATATATTAAATAATCAATTAGTATTTATTTAACATACAATAACCTCCCTATTAGAGCTAAATTAAAAGCCTCTTTGTGGAGGCCTTGCAGAAAGCCCTGCACTGTGCTAACCTGGAGCCAGGAATTTGCATTAAGAGCCTGAATCTTTGTTACCTCTGGAGACCCCAAGATGATTTTAACTTGTCAAGCAAAAGAGTAGAGGGGTTGGGTTTGTTACAGTCACTTGGCCCTGCTATGAGACACACTCAGTGTGAGGAGGGAGCTCTGGGAAGGGGGGTAGTGCCAAAAAAGTTGGTGAGTTGCTGCCCATGTGGTCCTGACCAGATGCTGAGACCTGGCAGGTGATGGGTGAGAGGGAAACAGAGAGATTTGCCCACAAGTAAAAGACCTTTGAAGTAAAAGAAAACTATTTTCAAGTGTAAAAAGAAAGGAGAATGAGGAGAGGGACGGGCAGAGAGCAAGAAAATACAAAAGCAAAGAAGTGGCACGGTTGGGTAATAGAAATAGGGCAAAGTGGGGAACTCAGAAAAGGAATAGCTGAACTAAATTGCTCAAAATGAGCCTCTCCTGTGCTATGTTCTGAGCTGCCATTTATATCTGTGTGGTGTATTGAATATTAGCAGGTGGATTTACTCCCATCTCCCT